TAAGATTTTGCAAAGGTGGATCTCTGCAATTGAAATTTCTGCCAATGGCATCCCCGACATGTTCGATAGGGTTCATGTCTGGAAACATGGAAGGCCAAAAGATAGTGTCAATGGCTTCTTGCTCTTTGTACTCGGTTACAATCCTTGTCCTGTGTTGTCTAACATTGTCGGACATGCACAAGGGTCTTGAAGCAAGTGGAGGATTATCAAAAATGAGGGACTACAATGTTTCTCAGCACCAAATCCCTGTATGTCTGTCCGTTTATGTTACCCTGCAGAATATGCATACCCACCTTACAACAGTATGAGAAGAAACCCCATACTGTAACACCATCAGCAACGTATGCAGTCGTTGGGCAAATTTTGTTTTGGTCATTAGTAGTTTTATTTCCACGACAAACTCGTATACTGCCGTCTATTGGTTGTAACAGAAACTGACTCTCATTTGACCAATGAACATTTTGCCAGCTTCTCATGTTCCAGCGTCGATGGACATTAGCCCTTTGAAACCTGATTATACGGTGCCTGGCTGTTAGGGCAGGTCTCTTGAAAACACGACGTGCTCTTAGGTAGCCTCTATGAAGTCGACGGACCAATGTTCGAACACTAACATGACCACCTTGACGCCAGTGGTGTCTAAGTTGTGGGGCAGGAGTAGATGGGTTGGCTTAAAATCTGACAATGACGGTGTGTTAAACATTGAAGAGGTATGTCCAGTGCGCGATGTAGTGACGATATCGCCGATATTGTCAACTTCGTTCATGATTTTATACCTGCTCGCAACATTGTCTACAGAGTCCCCTTTTTTGTCTACATTGTTGACATCGCCGACATCGTGATGTTGACAACATCGTGACGACATCGTCTACATCGTCCCCCTTTCCTGTCTACATCGTTGACATCGCCGACATTGTGATGTTGCCAACATCGTGACGACATCGACTACATCGTCTACATCGTCCCCCTTTCCTGTCTACATCGTTGACATGGCCGACATTGTGATGTTGCCAACATCGTGACGACATCGTCTACATCGTCCCCCTTTCTTGTCTACATCGTTGACATCGCCGACATTGTGATGTTGCCAACATCGTGACGACATCGACTACATCGTCTACATCGTCCCCCTTTCCTGTCTACATCGTTGACATTGCCGACATCATGATGTTGACAACATCGTGACGACATCGTCTACATCGTCCCCCTTTCATGTCTACATCGTTGACATCGCTAACATCGTGATGTTGACAACATCGTGACGACATCGTCTACATCGTCTACATCGTCCCCCTTTCCTGTCTACATCGTTGACATCGCTTACATCGTAATGTTGACAACAACGTGACGACATCGTCTACATCGTTTTTCTTGCTATCTACATCGTTGACATCGCGTATATAGCAAAGTTGACAACATCGTGACGACATCGTCTACATCGTCTACATCGTCCCCCTTTCCTGTCTACATCGTTGACATCACCGACATCGTGATGTTGACAACATAGCGACGACATCGTCTATATCGTCCCCATTTCCTGTCTACATCGTTGACATCGTCCACATCATGATGTTGACAACATTGTGACGATATCGTCTACGATGTCGGCAATGCCAATCATTTAGAGACAAGACGTTTATCAATTTCAATTTCAAATAATGTATTTATATTACGCCTGTGTCGATGTTCTTAATAGTAGAACTTATTTGGACAGTTTTTTAATGTTTGCAAATCTCTATTCTCCTCCTCCTCCTCCTCCTCCTCATCATCATCATCTTTGCAATGTTGATATTATAGATTACGTTGTAAAACATTGTTTTGACATTGTCTTTTTCGCGATGTCGGCAATGCCAACCATGCAGAAACAAAATGATGAAAGGATATCGACAAAGTAGTACAACACCATTTTGACATCATTGTATTCAAAATTAACAATGTAAACACGAGTATTGTGTAAGCGATATCGGCAATGTCAACGATGTAGACAAGAGTATGAAACGATATCGACAACGTTGTACAGTATCGTGTTGACATTGTCTACTTCGCGATATCGTCAATGTCAACGATGTAGACAAAAGTATGAAACGATATCGACAAAGTTGTACAATATCGTGTCAACATTGTCTACCTCGCGATATCGTCAATGTCAACGAGGTAGACAAGACTATGAAACGATATTGACAATGTTGTACAACATCGTGTCGAAATTGTCTACTTCGCGATATCGTCAATGTCAACGAGGTAGACAAGAGTATGAAACGATATCGACAACGTTGTACACTATTGTGTCGACATTGTTTACTTTGCGATGTCAACAATATCGGTACTACTTTGTACACTGGACATGAATGACATTGAAATGGTTACCTATGCAACTAGTGCTCCTACCGGCATTTGACATGTCAATTGCTTGTTGAGGTTCAGTCGCATATAACTTACCCCTTGCCATATTTCACAGTGACTTGGTGAAGGTCAAATTTCACCTGTACGCGGGACAGTAGGAAGATGATTTAAAAGCATCGAAACAGTGTATTCGAAAAAGTGCAGATTACCTTTAATAAATAATTGCTTGGGTTCTTTATCGGAGTTTATTTTTTTTTGGTCGTAATGAATTTTCTTAGTGTATGTTATAGGCAATTCATAACACCAAACATAAATATTTTTTCGCAATAGTTAAAAAAATATTGCCAGTTATAAATAGGTGGTGCTTAACTTTTGGCGGACTGTATAGTAAAATATTTAAATCATGTTACTGTCATCTAATCGGTCCGTTTTTGGTGCAGTCAGAGATCTGTTGTTTGTATATATCAGTATGAGTACTTTTATATATCATATGTGTAATCGTCCATTCTAAGGGAAAAAGGCTTGTGCAAGTGTCTTATTAGTACTTTACTAACATATATGACGATTTGTAAGTCAGTAAAAGCTCAATGATGAGTTAAAGTTTTCATTCAAAGACATCCATAGAAAAAGCTTAACACCCCCATTTGTTTGGATGTCTTTGAATGTCAATATTAACTGATCATTGAATTTTTATCATTACAATTACATACTTAATTAGAATAAAAACTAAGACAGTGTGAAAAAAAATTGCGAAAATCAATAGTTTTCAAATTGTTCAGAGGTATTGCAATCAAATTCAAACAAAAATTAGTCATCTTAGAATTTGGGTACTTTGTAGTGATAATTAAAATGTGGTAAGGTAAAGTATTAAACAATGGACACGCGTCTACAGCATACAACTGCTGTTGTCTTAAGCATGTAAATACTAAGACATTGAGAATCAATCATGTTACTATAATTCATCATCTGACCTTCGAATTATATTTTGTTTTACTGTATTACAAATTGAAACTAACCTAATGTCCATGTTATTTTGATGGACTATTAATATAAAAAAATGTGATTTGATGTTGCGATTAGTTTAAAATTATACAAGGATATTTTTTGCCAAAACTATAAATTATTACATCCATTCTGTTTGTCAAAATCGTAGGAGTGGTAAGATAAAGTTTTTATCATAATATGTGTGTGTTTTGCTGTGAATTACATGTAGTCTTAGTATGTGAAATGTATGTTTCTAAATAAACGGAAATAACATTTTATACATTTGAAGACTCTTCCTGAATGTATAGTCATCATGAACGCTTGAAAGCCAAGGATGATTGAAAACCTGACTATTTGAGAGCTATATGGTTACCAACAATAGACCTTAAAAGAAAGGTAAAATTATCTCAAAGTCTTATTTGCTTTAAGCAGCTGAAACCTTAGTTTTCTAAAAAATTTCTAAATATATTGAGTAAAAAAGGTAACCAACATATGTTTTAATTAATAAAACAATGAATTCAAAATTTTCGCAAGTTAAAGCTTTGTTATTAATTCAACAAGTCTAAAGCATTTTCGCCATATGTTGGAAAATTTATATAAAATTTGTTTAATTTTTTTTGTATTTACCGTAACATTTTTGTTATGTATTTGTGTTCAGAGAAAATTATTACAACATGTATAAAGTATGTTATATATATATATATTATAGTACAATTTTTATTCCGTAATTCACTCTGTTAAATTGTGGATTATTAGGTTTTGTGTCCGTATTTATACTCAAACTGACGTGTCTTTTGAAATTTCATTTTTTGCATAATTACAATCATTTGTGGTAGTCGTGAAAAAATGCATCAAATTGAAATGTCATCGCAATGCGAAAATTCAACCTCCAAAGTGTTTTAAAAAATGTGTACACATCCTTAATAACCTCGTATTGTATCTATGTTTAGTATTTTGTAAGTTCGTTTGTGCAGGAATTTTTGTTATTTTATGAAGCAGTTATACAACGGTTACATTTCGATTTTTTAAAACTAAAGAGGAAAAACTTTTTCAAAATTTGACAGTGTTTATCTATTACAAAAAAAATGTGCAAAAACCGATTGAATGCGGACACATTATTGAAGGGTGCGTTTGGGTAATCAGATCAACGATCATATGTAAACGATAAATCATTGTATCGTGTTGTTATTGTTTAACCTCTTCCATACTAGACCTAGTTATGTTACCATATCTGATCATCATTCATTCGTTAATCACATTTGACGGATGATGATGTCGATGATACATGTGTATATTGTTTTTCTAAATAAGACATCTCTTACATATCTACATGCATCTAAATGGCTTTTATCACACCTATTCTATATCTATGTTTTTCTTCATTTGATAACATCCTTGAAGATGTCATTGAAAAATCATATACTTTTTTCAATATGTTAGTCTCTTACATGGAACAAAAAGATGGCTTTCAAATTTTTTAGTGCAGATCGAGACTATAGATCATAGTGAATCAGATACCAATTGCATGTGAATGTAATCGATGAATCTATAAATTGAATGTTTTGATAGTACTGTGACATTGTATAATTATTCAGATTTGCTTGATAAAATGATTTTTATTAAAACTACTTAGAGTCATTCAATAAGCTAGCCAACATTTTCAATAAACATGATGAATGAGGACTGAGTCTTTTTATTTTCGAAGAGTTGTTTCTACAATGTAAATGCATCCGGGTGTTGAAAACCATTTAACACCAACCTATACCTTACGGTATAGTTTTAAACATGAATGATTGTACAGTGGACAAGAGACTTTCTAATCATAAAGGTAAGTGAGAAATATATTTATTTTTTTTTTAATTGATAATTTTCTCTGTTGTTCTACGTTTTGATTAAATTTGTTTGCTGTTTCAATTTAACATGTTGAACTCAAATATTATTATATTATCTTCCTTTCATTGTATTCAACTCTTTATCTCATAATTCCTGTTGTCTCAAAATAAGATGTGTCCATATTGATAGTTTTGCGTTATATTAACTCCATGGAATCTTGTTATTTCAAATGTTTGTTCAAGTCCAATAAATTTTGAGATAACGGATGTCAATTGGACATTAACATACCCAGTTTAAAACAGCCTGATAGAATGAAGATGCAAAAGTATGTGCACATAAAAACATAGAAGAAGGAGATTTATTATCTAAATAGTCCTTGTCAGGAGGAACACGTCGGGTAGCATATCATGGACATATGATGCAGGATCTTTATAATTTACCGAAGCACTCAAAAGCATCTGCTGACTTGTTTGTGGTTTCACTTTCTCTATTTTCAGTTTTATATCTAAAGTGTTGTGGACTTTTATTTATCTTTTCGTCCCAATTTGTTTTTGACCATAGTGTTGTCGAATTTTCCTCAACTTGAGATTTTTCCATTGTACCTTTGGTATCTCTTCATTCCGTTCTTCATTTGTTATATTCAGAAAATGATACGTGTGTTCGTGCTTATATCTTATACTGTTGCATTTTAATGAGTGAGTGAAAATGCTTTTAGAAAAGACGTGGATCAAACAGCAATACGAAAACAGGAAAAAATTAATTCAATGTTAAACGTGCTTACGAGGAAATATTTTGAAGGTTTATCCCTAATAACAGCAAATTAGTTGATACAGAATCCACATACCTCGTGTTAATTGTAGTTTAATTTCATTAACTAAACAAAATGTCTGTATTTAGATTAGGGACTGACTTAAATCATATACATGATTTGCATATTTTCTTTCTATCCTTTCATTTAATACAGTGTAAATCTCGCATCAAAATGTTTATTATTTTGGCTTTTCCAATCCAGTTTGCATTTAAATTAGTTCTTAACACCATGATAAATTGTGTTTCAGCAAACGTATATTAAATTTATCTCATGTTATTTCCCTCAATCTATTCAGAAAATTGCGCTTAGCATTTTCCATTGTATCTTAGAGAAACATACTCTTCTTTTTCCGATTGACTACAATAGTCTCGATAGTTAGATATTTAAATTTTCTAACTGTCGATCAACCTCATATTTTAAGTTCGAAATTTGACTATCTCAAATAAATATCATTATTTACAGGGATGCATGGTAAAATCTATATGTTTCTGATAATCCGTCAAAAATAATCGAAATGTAAAATACAAGAACATTAAAATATACGATACATTCACAACTAGCGTGTTATATCGTTATCAAAGTTATCATGCAATGTCTTCATGACCTCACTGTATATGTATTAATAAGGAGTTGTATATAACAGTCAGTAAGATATATAGCCAAGCTTTTTAATAACAATGATGTTTTTGTTTTACTTTTCTGTCAGCAAACGACAATATCAGCAGATACATGTACATGTATATAATAAACGTTTAAATATACCTCTTACTTTCTTATCAGGTCAAGGATATTATCAACATATTTCACTACTAAGTTCTACAATTAATTTGGAAAAGAGAAAACAATATTACAGCTAGTATAATTCCTGTTGTCTTGTTTATGCACTAATTATAATTCCGAAAACTATTTCGATTTTTTGGTGATCATTTGTTTTTTGTACCTGTCATTTTTTGTTTCTGAAATGTCTCTTTTGTTTTCGCAATATTTTGATACGATATTTGGCATATGACACATGTATGATATTGAACAGATATTGTGGTTTTAAAACTAATCCTTTAAACCCTTTTAAACTAAACACTTTTTAATATTGGAGGTATCTCCCAGTTTTTCTTGATATCACTTCCCTTATACGCCAATACACATTAAACATGGGGTTGAAGTGCTTTAGCCCCTTTTGATAAGAGTTTTCTCCTCTTAAAAAATCGAAATATGCTGTTTAGTTGTATAACTCCTCGGGTCTTTTGATATCAGATTCATGACATTTGACTTTATAATTGAGTGCAAGTTCAAAGTCAAATATGACATGAGGTATGTTGCATTAGTATGGTGTATGACCTTGGGAAAGGTCAACCAGAATACCTTTTGTAGACTGGAAGAAATATTTGTTTGCACTAATGTCATGTAAAAGTTAATAGAAGCCTTATTTTTAAATTGAATGTGAAGCAACCTTTCATATGAACCGAAAGTGACAATTTGTCATCTGGAAGTAGAAGATTATCATCTTTATTACTAGCAAAAGCATAAAGAAACTATATATTTCTCAAATCAGTTTAATGAACTATATGTCATATGACAGCGGAGGTGACATCTTGTCTGGTGTAAGTAGTCAATTATATCTCCTTTATGTTGAAGAAAAATACAAGGAAACTACATACTTTTTGAATGAGTGCAAAGTTAGCTATCATATGACACCGGCAGTGACTATTCTTAACAGGAGATAATTGATCTTCTGCCGTATTTTAAAAACGAGACTGTTTTATTTGAATCTGAGAAAACGAAGTTTTCTTCTTATACCGTTTTTGTTCACGGAAGTAACTTATTTGTATTTCAAGAACGATTGTGTGTGTCTTTATGAAATTCATTGAAATTTTGATTATCAATATGTAAGGCGGAAAGATTTTCAATTATTCTCTGAACAATTGGTTTTTAATTTTTCTTAATCTCTTTTTATGTTTTGCTCAATACTTAATACATTTTACTTTTCCTTTTGTTTTTCTATTGTGATCATAAAAAGGAATGGCGACAATAACAATTTCAAAAGAACAAAGTACTTTGAAGGGGACGAAGCGTAAATTTAAAAATGCTGCTGTTAAATCGGACAAGATAGGGGTAATGAATTATCCGATATTCAGATATTTTAGGAATGACTGTAATATTTTTTCTGTCTATGAAGAAATAACATCAAAAATGTGGTGCACACTGAATAACCCGCGTAGCGGGTTATTCTAAAGTGTGCACCACATTTGTCATGTTATTCCGAATAGACAGAAAAAATATTACAGTTATTTCTTATAATTTAATTCTTATTCCATTTCAAACCGGAGTAAATCATGAAAAAAACGTTCATGACGTCAAGTTCACATGACAAAATTATGTCTATGAGCTATAAACAAAACAACGTCAGCCAATCGGAAGACGCGTTACATCCAAAATTAAATTATTGCTGTATAGATACAGAATTTACTTTTTATCTTTTATTTATATATCAATGTATAATAAGAGAAATTTTAGAATCTTTTCTATTAATTGCTAACATATGTTGCTTAGTCTATAGTTTTCTATGTTGTGTCATCTGTACTATTATTTGTCTGTTTGTCTTTTTATTGTTGGCCATGGCGTTGTCAGTTTGTTTTCGATCTATGAGTTTGACTCTCCCTCTGGTATCTTGTGTCCCTCTTTTGTAGATTGTTTCTGTTTTAAGGTCGAATACAACAAGATATACACATTTATCTTATTTTTCGCTGGTGTTTACCTTCACCGACCGGTTGCTTTTTTTTTATAGTCAATGTATGGGACTCCTTGGATATCTGTTTTTCATTTGTAAAAAGTCAATAACGACAATAAACTTTCTTGCATTCTAATGGAAGTACTATCGTGACGTTGCAAAAATGCGACTATATATGTTTTTGGAGTCACCAGAGAAACATAACCAAATTCGTGCAAACACTACAAAACATTTCTCCACTAACAAAAAAAACATGTTTTTTAAGCGTTAACTATCTAAAACGTCCTGCGAGCCTTGCGTCTTAAATTTAACTATCTAAATGTCACAAGTGAATACATTTTGTATTACCCTCGATACAGAGGTTGGTTTTATATTTATAAGGTACCGTGTTTTTTGTTTATATATAGATTTTTAACAAATAAGCAAGCGGAAATGATTAGACACGATTCATTTCTTTACATTTTCATAAAAAAATATATAATGTTTTGTGTCGAAATACACACGTTTTCTCAAACCTTGCATATCGGGATAAACAAATGGTCAACGTACAGACTCTTCAATAACATTACAATTGAAAACCATTTCGAATAACGAGACTCGTATCAAATATGCGAATTAGTTGTTATATGTCTTAACTTATTTTTTTGTTAACAACCTCAATGTATAGTTATAATTATAACCCTTTAATTCTATTGTTTTGATTAAGAAAACCTTTGTATTATATATGTAAACAAATGTCAAAATTTATCATATTTCAAAATAGCACTAAGACAAATGATTGGATGTAATAAAAAATTATACAGGACTGAGGTAGTCACGATATAACGACTTATGTTTAATCTTTATTTCTCAGCAACTTGTTTTCCCATCAGAAAATTTCCAATCTGTACATTTATCACAACAGTCTATTAGGCAATATTTCAAAATTACCATCTGCCAATTGTTCCTTCTGATGAAACATCAAAAGAATGAAACAAGTTGGTATCTTGTGCAAGTCAACATATACTGACCCTCGGCTAGTTATAGCCAGCAACGACAACAATGCTGACGATTTAGAATTCATCGTTGGAAAAACCTTCAAGAAAATAGTGGCATCAGACAGTCGTTACAAACACATAGGCGCACATGTCAGCAGATCCAGCAGCCATTTTTGTAGACCATATGCGTTAATATGTGTTATTCAAACTGAATGTAAAAGAGGAAAAGCATGTTTAAGTAGTCAGGTATTTTTGACGTATTCCCTCATTAATCACATTATTTACCGTTCTGAAATAATGCTGAGGAATAACCGGTACGACGACAAAATATCATATACTAGATCAATGACCATTAGGTGCTACACAACGGTCAGCAGTTCGTTGTCCCTCTGACACCGGTCGTGTCACTTAGGTTAAGATACATAGAGTAAACAGTAAATATAAGTAGGTATCACTCATTACAGGATTTGTAAATGTCTCCTAACTAAACCCAAGAGACATCATTGAATTCTTAAACAATATGTCTATTGATTTTAAAACTTTACATACTATTGAAGTTTAAAATAGATATGGCGTTTTAATGATATAGAGCACAGGACTTACTGTTAAAATCTCACAGACAATGACAAAAATAAAATAGCACAACTTTGACACTAAAAACTGAAGCAAGTGTGTGAAATAATCTATACTGATAATAGCACTGACCATCGTTTGGCGTATACTTATCTCTATTTAAACATGTATGAAATGGTTGTACATATTTACACTATACGAGGTTTTCCGAATTCGATGCTCCATTCATTTTATTCTCGTTATTTATAAGAAAAGCAACCTATAAAACCCCATACAATCAGAGCATTTTCTAAAAGTAATAACAAAACAGAAAAAAACAGAAAGAAATTACAGGGAAAAACATAAAATAGTAATGCCTTAATGTGTGATGTAAAAACTCAGAGATACCAGTCTGATAATAGTTTTACGACAGACGTAATATTAATGTTTAGTTATCCCGTTTTTCAACATTTCGCAAATATAACATGTATAAGATAAAACACTTCTACAAATGTATACGCAACGAACCTTAATCTCTAATAAAGATGAAATATTCAACTACTTTCGTTTTCGTTATATATAGGATTTATCTCTGTTAGCATCGTCTAGATATTTCAAGGAAGCATCTGATACCATTGTATATGTCATACAGAATACCACACAAAATCAGAACTACACAGCTGATGACCTGATGACTGTCAGTAATGAAATTGAAGAGGTTTTGACATTAGATACGACCAGCATATATAAAAACATTTTCTTAGAGACGGACGTCGAATTGTTTGTTCGTTTAGGGCTAACAATGCAAAATCATATCCTATCAGGCATCCTATCATTGAAAGAAATATTGTCAAATTGTAAAAATCCAAACAAACATATACTTAGACATACCATGCAGACTAGAGCTGCAACAAAAGATGAAAACATGCAACACAATAAAAAGACACGTCATGTACCACTGGATTCCAACATTGATCGTATAACAACTTTACAAAATCTTCTAGAAGACGAAATATCCAAGATCAGCAACAATGTTACTTTACACGCTTGGAAGATTCTACCTTTGAGGTATGTTTCTTTTCTCCTTTTCGTTCCTCGATCATGTTAGCTATAATTAATTTAGTTAGAAAAAAATTAGTTCTGAAGTTTTTGAGAACATTTCTTACTCTCATGTTATGTATTTATATTGCTTAGTCTGGCTAGTGTTCCAAGAAAATGTTTTAATCCTGAAGAATCAGCAGTAGAAACCGGACTTTGAAGAACTATATAACCCCTAACGCGAGGCGGTTGTGAACCAGATTTCCATACAAACAATTCTCAAAAGATCTTAAATGGCATGTGCATTCAAAGTCCCTATCCTCAAGCATAACAATACAACATTTAACTTTTCTTCCTTTCAACAAAAATTTTTCATTCTAAGCATGAACTTTTTGAAGTAATCATTCAAACGCTGTTGAAAAAAAACAAAACCTAGATACTTGTTTTTATCTTACATTCATTTCAAGCTTCATTGACCGAATTTTAGTTGCTTAATGTTTAGTGACAAATACTTCATGCATGTTAAGGTTGTAAACAAATTAACAATATATACTATAGTTAGTTCCTATAATAGATGCCGTCCGGGATTAAGGTCGGAGAAATTTCGACTGCAACTGTAAAATGAGGGTATATTGTATATAGACAGAAAGTTATCATTGCAACAGGCCACTTACGGACCCCTCAACGAGTTGCTACAAGGGTTCTTAACCTGCAGATAGCGTGCATTCTATAATTTAACCTGCATTTTTACAAGCCATAATGTTCAAGCGACGTTGCTGATCTTTTTCATTTTCTGTGTATTATGTTGTGTATCGTTATTTTTCACTATTGTCTTTTTTCGTTAGATCGTGATGTTTCAGGGTTTTTTCTTGGACTTAAAAATTCAAAAGAAGACAAAAAGTAACAGAAGAAAGTAAATTCGATCGAAACAAATACTTTGAAATATATCTTAAACTTTTATTTGATTTAGTTCCGCTTTATTAGTGTTAACTCAACAATACGAAAACACATTTCTTTGTTTGTTTGGTTCGAGCGTAATGATTACGAATGCGCTGACCATCAAGAATGTTGTGTAATGTCAAACATAAAATGCATCCCTCTTGTTAACTCATTTACAGTTTTATCACAAAATTGTGCACAAACAAATATGCTTGAAACATGCTTGAAAGATAAAAATTAAAGTCGAGTATGATTATTTCAATCTTTAGCGACTTGAATTATCGTTAATTTTAGTATAAACATTATTCATATATGGCAAAATGTCCCTTGTTATAGTGCTGGTGGGTTGCAGGATTAAAGTGCTTAGCGCAGTTTGTAAATATGTTAATATTATAGAGTCTAAAATATAGTAAAATAGCTGAATCAAATTGCTTCTAGGCCATATAGCTTTCCTTTATAAACATAAAAAAGGATATTCGAAGTGAAAAAGAATATATCATTAAGCCATCCGTCCATCACAACCACCGGACAAGATTCTATAATCGGTTTCGAATCGATCTGTCAAAGTACGTTGCCTACATCACATGCCAAACTCCACAAGCCTAAACAACACAAAAAACAAGAAAAAGAAATTATTTGATTCAAAACCTGGATTTTTTTTTAATAAAACTTTCGCAGAACCAGTTTTGTTTTGCATTTTGGATTTTTCGATATAGAAATCAATATGTCTAAAATAATTTAATCGGAAAGTCAATAATATGTGGTATGTATCTGAGTAGTTGCACTGCACGTGAATTTAAGGATATTTAGAAAAAACATATTTCAATTTCAAATGCTTGCATTTGAAAGTAAAATTGAGAATACAAATGTGGAATGTGTCAAATATACAATAATCTGACCAAAGAGCAGAAAACAGCCCAAGGCCACAAATGGGTCATCGACACGGCGAGAAAATCCCGCACCCGGAAATGGCTTCAGCTGGCACCTAAAAAATAATATAAACTAGTTCAAACGAAAAAGGACGTCACACTTAACTCCAAAACATATAAATGAGCCAAAATTTAAACAAATATACAAGTCTAACAAAAGCCAGAGGTACTTGACTTGGGACACACGCAAAAAATGCGGAGGGGTTAAACATATTTTGTGAGATTTCGACCGTCCACCTCTATCAAATATGGTTGAACAAACACACAGCAAAACGCACAGTAAAACTCAGTTTAAAAGAAGTCCGAGTCCGATGTAAGAATAGGTAACAGAAGCAAAATGACAATGATCGACATACATTAACAAAGGATTACTTGCTGTTACTGACATTCCAGGTCCATACTTCAATTAAACTGATTGAATCACACATATGTCTACATCTATCACAATCCCAAAATTAGGGGTGTACTTTTATACCATCATAAAATGTACCAGAAGAACATTACCCGTACAATGCAAACAACTGGTTTTAGAACACATGTGTTTATTTTTGGTACAAAGTCCCTATTAGTGAATCAATACGAAATCCCCAAAATGCCATCTTTAATGACCTCACAACAGTATCGTAACAATATCCCTTCTGCAAAAGCTTTTGTAAACTTTTGGTTAGCTTCTGTTGTGAATGACGAATATTTTGTTCTTTGTAGAGAACATTTACATAAAATGTGGGATGTGAAATACCGGAACGTATAAGATGTTTGCACGTTGATTTTTACCCTGGTACGCTGTTCAGAAAAATATATAAGCAGCCCCACTATATTGAACTTATTGAAATAAAGTAATTGAAAAGCAAATAGAGTTAATGTTTCAGATACATAATACAATTGTGTTGAATCCCTCCAACTGATAGTTTTAAACAATTTGAATAAATATTTGCAGTTTCTACTTCAATTGTACACTGAGCAGCATGAATACAAAAATGTGTCATCTGCAAAAAGGTTTTCTTTTACTATCATTAAGTTATGGTTTTGAACATTCTTCTTAGAAATATGCATCGAACGTAAACAAATATTCGAACCTAGGATGCATTCGAAATCATGATTCGAAATCCAAAAGCGATAGAAACTTAAATTTTACTTATTGGCTGCGATAGAATATGAGTAGATCAAAACAAATTTGTATATGAAGCGATGCAAAGCTTGGTTATGAGGAGCAATCAATCTTCTATTAAACTGCTTCTTCCAAAATACTATTGTCCCTTTATGTAATAGCACTCTCATTTTTCTAAACACCACTCTTTGTATGCATATAATATAAACATGATACACACATATGCAACAATTAATAATGAATTGAGATGCATTTTTGTATTTCAATATTTATAATATAATCATATGATCAACAATTAATTGCTACCCCTTGCAAATCAGTGTCTGAGCAGAAAGTTGATAAACAAGGGGTATATCAAAGAACGTCCTTTTTCTAAAAAAAAATTCATCGGACGGTACCAAAACCTTGCTGATAAATATTCCGTATCAACTTCGCAGGTAATGCATGATGGTGTTGAAGAATAGAATCTGGGTACTGACGTTGTTTATCATCTGAATAACGTGTTATAGTATTCTTTAATTTGTCTTTGTGAATATTACTTTTACTGTTAAGTCTATTTTTGGTGATATCCATTTGAAGTGGTTCGGTACTTATAAATCCCGTCATTGTGTTATTGTGCTATGGTAAATTTTTGTATTCTTGTCTTTCATTCTTGCTAATGTGCTTTGTCTATATGTCTTTTTGGTATTCTTTGTTGACCCATGTGTTTGTTTTGATAGCGATTAAGATTAAAACACAATGTTTACTGCTGTACCCCTATTTTGACATTTTTATCTATTATGTCTGTTTGTTTTGTTCACACATTGTTGTCAACATAATGGAATTGTATGCGACTGTCATACAAGTGAGAGGTTTAACTAGCTATAAAACCAGGTTTATCCACCATTTTCTACATAAAAAAATGCCTGAACCAAGTCAGGAATATAAGAGTTGTTATCCATTCGTTTGATGTGTTTGAGCTTTTTATTTTGCCTTTTGAGTAAGGATTTTCCTCGGAGTTCGGTATTTTTGTTATTTTATTTTTTAGAATGTGTGGCACCCTTAGATATTCTATATTAGACATTATTTTTCCTTCAACATGTATTGTACACATCAGACTCATTGAACACGATTTTATCAGTTGATACTATCATTGTCATCTGTGAGATATAGTAAAACTTATGTCAACCAGTATATACCAAATAGATTACACAATTCTAAAGCTCAATAAGAAACCTCAGGAACAAAAACAAAGTCTGATAACTCATGTGAGTAAATAGATACTGAACCAAAACATGCAAAACAGATAAGCAAAATTAGTCAGTAATCTTCAGTTTATCAATCAATTTTAGGCCTGTCCTAAGCTGGTTATTTATTGTTTCCCAGACTGTTGTTTGCGGTAAATTAGAATCAGTTCAGTCGTTTTGCTGAACGTTTACTACCTTAAGTACCTGCTGTAAAACTGATACTGAATTATATGCAAATGTAGGGTTAGTATTGTGAGTAAATGTCTACTTCATAACATATTTGTTTATGATAAATGTGAGTATTTACCTACACTTTCACACAGTAAAGCTTGTATTAAACATTGTGCCATGCACATATTTCATAATAAAGACGTATTACTTAACATTTTATAAAACATCAAAACTATATCACGTATAGTGGAAAATAACAAAAGACGTGCATTACATCGTAGAATCCTTCCTTTAATAACTTATAACAACACATAACCATGCTTATGTTGAGCATGCTAATCATTTGGGATGAGTATTGATATTTGTTTGTGTTTTATGTCAGAGTTAGATTAAATGTGCATATACATGTTTTAATTCGTTGATTAAATTAGTGTAGTGTTTGCAAGGCAAATGCCGATACATGTAGTCTACATATTTAAACGTTGGCTTTGGATTATTATAATAGAAATTCCTGGCCCGTATTCTTTTTCTCCTTCCTCTCGCTCTATATAGTCTGTGTTTGTAAGAAACAACAAGGACAAAGTAAAGTAATGTCCACCCTAAAAGTCTTTAGCTTAGAAAGAAGAATACACATTGGTATGTTGTTGGGTTATTTTGATTCAGTCTTATGGATATAATTACAAAACTTAAAAAGTGAAACCCATCAATTAAGTATTTCAGGTTAGTATATACACATAATTACTGTGAAGCACCACTACCCACAAGCCGTAAAAATAAGCAAATGTGAGTCATGTAAGGTCAATTTTTTTTATATTCTACGTTTTGTTTACAAGTAATGTTTAATGATAGTGATTCATAGTAATGTAACTACTATTAAGGGCATTTTATGATTCTTAAATGGCTCACTCTCTCTCTCTCTCTCTCTGTTCAAATCAGGGGTACATGTTCAAGAAAGCATGTGACGACGAAATCAAACCTGTTAAAACACATTTATCCTTCAACTATTCATTTGACGTACTCGTAGAATAAACTTATATTATATTCAAGCTTGAACAACATTGTATTTTGAAATAAGCTATTGTTTACACAGAGAAATTCATGTAAATAGAGTGGGTACATTGTCGGCGAATAGCGGCGACTAGTTGTTTACTGTACGGAAATAAAAAATGTATACTTTTGTTCTTATTGTTTCTTCGCTTCTTTGGTACCTATATATAACCGGTGATGATGCTACACAGTGAAAGCATCAAACTGTCTCTTTGTGAATTATTCTTACAAATAGTACGGTTAAATATGTTCCGTACTGTCAATCATCGGTAGCCTCAATCAGTTACAAGTGTACTACATTTATATGTATATACGTTTAGTGATTCATAATGTCAAATAAGTTATGTATGCGAAGATAAGTGTCCTAGATTTCAACCCTAAAAGTGTATATTATATGACATTTGGCGACATAGATTCATTATTGGTAAGTTCTACCGTTATTATTCATCTTTCAAAATGGATATTACAAGATGTAACAAAATGTTATTAAATGACGTAAACTTTGACTGATTATGATCAATTTAATGATATTAAAAGAATTATTAGATTGTTTTAACTAAGAATTTTGTTATGCATGTCTCATGTGTGATTATATTTGAATACCTGTAAAGATAAGTAATTAATGTCATAGCAAGATTTTTCAATGTAAAGTAGTTAAGGATGTTGTTACGGTAGTACTAAATTAGTAGTGTTTATTTTCGTTCACATCAGGTCTGCTGACAACACATTATTTCGTAATGAAAAGAATCAAAATTATGTATATTTGTGAATTATTTATTTCTTCATTTAAATACAATATAAACAATTCTAAATTTGAAACAAACATGTGATTGATTTCGCCAAATGTACTTTTTTCATTCGCTCGATTGTTAAAAAATATTCTAGAGTACATTACTAGTGTAATAATATCTTGTTCTTTATTATGTGATATATCTATCTACGCATGACACAATGTAACTGCATATTTACATTTATTGATTGTAATATTGCTTATCATTGACGCTGTTTATGTCAAATTAAAACTCTCCATATTTACTTGACGAAGACAGATCATGACGAAAATATAACTTTCTCTCGCATTGTTTTTTTTTAAATTATAGTTTTAATGAAATATAAGCTAATCTAAATACTTAGTAAATACGACAGGTCGTAACGAAGGTCGTAACGTTTAGATGTTTAAATCACAAGATTAAAGTAAGTTGTTGTTAAACGATTACACAATACAAGTTGCTGTTAGAAAAATACAATATGATAAGTCAGGGGCCTTTAGATCAGTGGTTATAGTTGTTGCTGTGTTACATATACTTTTTGTCGTTCATTGTTTTGTTCATAGATCATGACGTTATAATTCTTGTTTGGATTGTTTTACATTTGTCACTCAGTGACCTTTTATAACCTACTATGCGGTATGGATTTTGATAATTGTTGAAAGCCGTTCGTTGACCTATAGTTGTTAACTTTTATGTCATTTGATCTTTGGTGAATAATTGTCTTATTTTCAATTATACCATATCTTGTTTTTTTTTCAAACAAACATATGTTCGAACTCTGTATGAAAATATTGTCAGTAAATTCAAAAAAAGTCAAATTTTCGTCAATATTTCAAACTTAGATCTGCACTAAAAAGAAGATTTCATCAACAAAATTCCGAAATACATAGCTGCAGAAAAATCTTGATACTGTACATGATTTTCAGTAGCTGCAAAAATAAAACATTATTCATAGACCAATGAACTATTGTAAAGTGCGTATGCTAAGTGTACTATATCTTTCTTTTTTTTTTTGAAAGGTTGCTGAAACTATTTAAATCCGTGAATTAATCAAACATTGTAAAATGAATGTTTTCTGAGTTCAGATTGTTTGGTATATGATATCTAACAGTGTTCGAAACTCATTCCGATGAAACAAACACTATGTACATGCTTATCTGTCTAATAATCATGTAGTGGTGAAAACATGACAACCAAATACACGCTCAAGTTTACATGTATTTAAGTTCGAAATTTTACTATGGTTTGATATCCTTCTCAATTGCCTGATTCTTTGACTGTTTATGGATGCTTATTAGTAAAAATGTGGGTTTACGCATACCAACTGTGCAAGACCCTCATGTCTAGTCAAGCAGTTTATGCATGTCATTACACGATTTTTTATAAAAACATTTAGAGATGTCATACATATTCCTTTGTTCTATCGCTATTTTTACCTTTGATCTTTCTTTATGATAATGTTCCATTTCAAGTTACTCCACTAATTATGCATTTTCTCATCCGAATGAAATGAGAACAGAATGACGTCATAAAGCCAACGTCATTAAAATCTAACTAGTAAAATAGCATTAAACATATTTTTTATGGTCTGTTTACTTGCTCTGAAAAAAATTCGTTTAGCATTCATGTCAAAGTTATTGTTACACATTCCGACAAAAGGTATTGTAATCCGTTGAAGTATTGATTTATCTTCTAAAACAAATAATAAAAAATGAACATAATAAATATTGTAGCTGATTTGTATCCCATATTATTCCTTTGGTACATTTTGCGTGGTCGATTTTCCTTTAACCAGTTACAAATTTCAAAAGCAACTCATGACCACAAAAAATATTCAATTGGCATTATAAGTACGGACATTCACATATAAATGTTACTGTAGATTCATTTATTTTCGTGGATTGAGAAAGACTTGCATTTTCGTGGATATTAGATTTCGTGAATTTGCCAAAGTCTGCATACCACCTTATATAAAATGTGTAATTGGTTGAAAATTTAAATTCTTGGATTATCTGTACCTACAAAATCCACGAAAATTGATACTTAACGAATAATAATAAATCCACAGTATAGCCATATCAATCAGAAAGATAAATTTCTGAAAGTACCTGATGGGGTGAATAAGTTAATATACAACTTATATGATTTGATGTTAAGCAGGAAATTGTAGACGTGGTTTATTCGACTATCAATTACGATAGAGGTAATCTGAAAAGTACTATAAAACAGTTTCAAACAAAGTGAGATCAGTTGTATTGCTGTAATTATGCATTACCTTTTTGGTAACCTTATTCAATAACATCCTTAAAAAAACTAAAAAGCATCGAGCCAAAAAAAGATGGTGATTTTCTTTACATAAAAAACAAGCATCGGTAAGGTGCGTTTTTTGTAGGCCAACAAAACCTATGTGTGTTATTTGTTTTAATAAATATATCTTGATATACATTTGAATGATTAATATTATGGAGCGGCAAATGATGAAAATGACGTTTGAGTTAAGCCATGATGGCACCAGCTTTCATATTTACGACATATATTTTCAAACAGTATACAATTTAAGAATTCCAAAGAGCTATATTCATTTCAAAATTTTGGCTGTATAAAGTTATAAATGAAGTATATGTTCATTTGCTGTCATAGTCAAATCATTCCCTCTATTACCCTCAATTTCTTTCTTGATAACAAGTTAATGTTTAATCTAATGATCAATTTTAATAATTGATTTATCAAATATTCTCATATTAGATAGGTTATTATACGTTGGAAAATATGAAACCATTTAATAATAATTGTTTTATCTAATTACTTAATTACTTCTGATAAAATAGCAGAACTCAGACAAAATTCATTTTACTGAGATACATGTAGGTCATGATAAAAAATTATGTGCACTGAATTTCTTGTTAAGATAATTTAATGAACTGATATCACAGGACAATGTATGATAAAAGACATTAATCAAGTGTAATCAATTGTTATAGGTCATGATTATTTACTAAAACTTTTACTTTATGTCAAACTTATTCTGTTTCTTCATTGTCTGTTGTTCTTTTAGATATCAGACTATCATAATGGGAGATAGAAAGTTAGATTGTGATACTTCATCTGAATGGAAACCTGAATTAAAATATGACTTTGGTAAGCAACAATCGTCATAATCCTTTTTAAATTAATATCTAACACATTCCTCCTTGGTTGTAAAATTTCCAAAATGAAAATTATCGCCAAATTAGCAATATTCGTAATCAATACGACGCATTTTAGTAGTGGAACAGAATCAGGTCACTCTTCTGGATTCCATGAGTTTAACCTGAAATTTTGGTCAATTCATGTTGCTCTACAGTTGGGTGCAGACCAAGCATTACATGTAGACGGGCGGAAAAAGTTAACGCGGCGTTTACTCGCGTGTACTTCTTGTAAACGCCGCGTTAACTGTGCGTTAACTCCGAAATTTCAGAAGACATAAAAAGCAAACGGGCGTTAACCTTCGCGTTTACCTCCGCGTTAACGCAAAAACGGCGCGTCTTCTAATTTTGCAAAGAGTAAACGGTCGTTTTCTTTCGCGTTTACTTCCGCATCTACGTAAAAAAAGGCGCGTCTTTTATTTTCTCAAAAGTAAACGCAAGGTTACTGTTCGTAGTAAACACGCGTTAACGCAGATTGTCATCGTATCCTGGATACCCTGACCTTAAATATTAAATGATAAGGTACATCAAAATTAAAGGACCAACTGGTCTTTTTCGATTGACATATTGACGATTACAGTTAATTAATAATGTTATTACACCTCTTTAATTAATTGAAAATTGATCATAGCAAATTTCTTTTTCTTCACATATAAACAGTTTACGCATGTCCTTCTTTTATTTAAATAATTAAATCATCACCAAAATCCAACAGTTTTCACATCTCAGACTGGCTGACTCAGGATGACTCGTAAAACAAAATTATTTGATCTCACTAACCAAAACTGACAATATTTGCACTTTATCAAGTAAATCTATATAGCCGCATAGCAAATCAGTTATATTTTTATGTCAGGAAGGACTGTATATACAAATGACAGCAATATTGGAACACACTGACTTCAAAATTATGTCCGCATCAATTATGAGTATCAGCATGTCCTCTTTTTATTGAAAATATTTAATCGTAAACAAATATCAGTAGTTTCATACCTCTGACTGATTCGTATAACAAAATTATTTGTCCTCATCAACCAAAACAGACCATATTTGCACTTTATTATGTAAATCTTATAGTCACATAGTAAATCAGTAATATTTTTATGTAAGGATGGATTGTATAAAACAAATGATTGTAATATTGGAACACAATGACTACAAAATTTTGTTCGCATCAATCTATAGTATCAGCATGTCCTCTTTTTATTCAAATTATTGAATCGTAAACAAATTTCAGTAGTTTTCATACCTCAGACTGACTAGTTTAACAAAATTATTTGACCGCATCAACCAAAACTGACCATATTTGCACTTTATTTTGTAAATCAATATAGCCACATAGTCATGATAGTGAATCAGCAACTATTTTTATGTCAGGATTTAATATATAATACAAATGACAGCAATATTGGAACACAACAACTACACATTTTTGTCCGCATAAATTTAGAGTGCCAGCATGTTCTCCTTTTGTTCAATATATTGATACGTAACAAAATTTCAGTAGTTTTGATACCCCAGGCTGACTCCTATAACAAAATTATTTGACCGCATCAACCAAAACTGACCATATTTTTACTTTATTTTGTAAATCTATATAGCCTCATAGTAAATCAGCAACTATTTTTATGTCAGGATTTAATGTATAATACAAATGACAGCAATATCTAAACACAACAACTACAAATTTTTGTATGCATAAATTAATTTAGAGTGCCAGCAGGATATGCGGACAAAAATTTGTAGTTGTGTTCCAATATTGCTGTCATTGGTATTATACATTAAATCCTGACATAAAAATAGTTGCTGATTTACTATGCGGCTATATAGATTTACAAAATAAAGTGCAAATATGGTCAGTTTTGGTTGATGCGGTCAAAAAATGACAGCAATATTGGAACACAACAACTACAAATTTTTGTCCGCATAAATTTAGAGTGCCAGCTTGTTCTCCTTTTGTTCAATATATTGATACGTAACAAAATTTCAGTAGTTTTGATACCCCAGGCTGACTCCTATAACAAAATTATTTCACCGCATCAACCAAAACTGATCATATTTGCACTTTATTTTGTAAATCTATATAGCCTAATAGTGAAACAGCAACTATTTTTATGTCAGGATTTAATGTATAATACAAATGACAGCAATATTGGAACACAACAACTACAAATGTTTGTCCACATAAATTTAGAATGCCAGCATGTCCTTCTTTTGTTCAATATATTGATATGTAACAGAATTTCAGTAGTTTTGATACCTCATGCTGACTCCTATAACAAAATTATTTGATCGCAACAACAAAAACTGACCATATTTGCACTTTATTTTGTAAATCTATATAGCCGCATAGGGAATCAGCAACTATTTTTATGTCAGGATTTAATGTATAATACAAATGACAGCAATATTGGAACACAAGAACTACAATTTTTTGTCCGCATAAATTTAGAGTGCCAGCATGTCTTCCTTTTGTTCAATATATTGATACGTAACAAAATTTCAGTAGTTTTGATACCCCAGGCTGACTCCTATAACAAAATTATTTGACCGCATCAACCAAAACTGACCATATTTGCACTTTATTTTGTAAATCTATATAGCCGCATAGTGAATCAGCAACTATTTTTATGTCAGGATTTAATGTATAATACAAATGACAGCAATATTGGAACACAACAACTACAAATTTTTGTCCGCATAAATTTAGAGTGCCAGAATGTCCTCCTTTTGTTCAATATATTGATACGTAACAAAATTTCAGTAGTTTTGATACCCCAGGCTGACTCCTATAACAAAATTATTTGACCGCATCAACCAAAACTGACCATATTTGCACTTTATTTTGTAAATCTATATAGCCGCATAGTTAATCAGCAACTATTTGTATGTCGACTAGGATTTAATGTATAATACCAGGGACAGCAATATTAGAACACAACAACTACAATTATTTGTCCGCATAAATTAAGAGTGCCAGCATGTCCTCCTTTTGTTCAATATATTGATATGTAACAAAATTTCAGTAGTTTTGATACCCCAGGCTGACTCCTATAACAAAATTATTTGACCGCATCAACCAAAACTGACCATATTTGCACTATATTTTTGTAAATCTATATAGGCGCATAGTGAATCAGCAACTATTTTTATGTCAGGATTTAATGTATAATACAAATGACAGCAATATTGGAACACAACAACTACAAATTTTTGTCCGCATAAATTTAGAGTGCCAGAATGTCCTCCTTTTGTTCAATATATTGATACGTAACAAAATTTCAGTAGTTTTGATACCCCAGGCTGACTCCTATCACAAAATTATTTGACCCCATCAACCAAAACTGACCATATTTGCAATTTATTTTGTAAATCTATATAGCCTCATAGTAAATCAGCAACTATTTTTATGTCAGGATTTAATGTATAATACAAATGACAGCAATATCAAAACACAACAACTACAAATTTTTGTATGCATAAATTAATTTAGAATGCCAGCAGGTCCTCCTTTTGTTTAATATACATGATATATTGATACATAACTGAATTTCAGTAGTTTTGATACCCCAGTCTGACTCGTATAGCAAAAATATTTGACCGCGTCAACCTTAACTGACCATATTTGCACATTATTAAGTAAATCTATATCATGTATATAGCGGCATAATAATTCATTAATAATTTTATGTCAAGAATGAATGTTTTATACAAATGACAGCAATATTGGAACACAACAACTTCAAATTTTTGTTTGCATAAATTTAGAGTGCCAGCATGTCCTCCTTTTGTTCAATATATTGATACGTAACAAAATTTCAGAAGTTTTGATACCCAAGCTGACTCATATAGCAAAATTATTTGACCATATCAACCAAAAACTACCATATTTGCACTTTATCATGTAAATCTATATAGCCGCATAATAATTCAGTAATATTTTATGTCAGGATGTATTGTATAATACAAATGACAGCAATATTGGAACATTATGTGAATACAAAATTTTGTCCGTATCAATCTAGATTGCCAGCATGTCATCTTTTTAATCAAAATATTGTCTCGCAAATGACAGCAATACTGGAACACAACAACTACAAAATTTTGTCCGCATAAATTAGAGTGCCAGCATGTCCTCCTTTGTTTTAATATATATGATATATTGATACGTAACTAAATTTCAGTAGTTTTGATACCTCAGGCTGTCTTGTATAGCAAAATTATTCGACCGCATCAATCAAAACTGACCATATTTGCACTATATTTTGTAAATCTATATGGTTGCAGAGTTAATCAGCAACTATTTTTATGTCAGGATTTAATGTATTAATACAAATGACAGCAATATTGGAACATAACAACTACAAATTTTTGTCCGCATAAATTTAGAGTGCCAGCATGTCCTCCTTTGGTTCAATATACATGATATATTGATACGTAACTAAATTTCAGTAGTTTTGATACCCCATGCTGACTTGTATAGCAAAATTATTAGACCGTATCAACCAAAACTGACCATATTTGCACTTTATTATGTAAATCTTTATAGGCGCATAATAATTCGGTAATATTTTTATGTCAGGATTAAATGTATAATACAAATGACAGTAATATTGGAACACAATGAATACAAAATTTTGTCCGCATAAATTTAGAGTGCCAGCATGTCCTCCTGTTGTTCAATATATTGATATGTAACAAAATTTCAGTTCTTTTGATAACTCAGGCTGACTGGTATAGCATACTTTTTTGACCGTATCAACTAAAACTGACCATATTTGCACTTTAGTATGTAAATCTATATGGCTGCATTATATTTAATCCGAAGTTTTTTTATGTCAGGATGTATTGTATTATAATACAAATGAAAGCAATATTGGTAAACAATGAATGCAATATCTCTGTATTCATAATATTAGACCATCACTAAAGTTAGTAGTTCAGGATGGTGTGTGTAAACAAAACTATTTGACAGCATCATCCAACACTGCACCACTGCTGACATGTCTGATTTCATTTTTACTTTATAATGAAAAGTATAAGAAGTTCTCTTCTGGGAATAGTATACTGTTGGTACATTATGTCGGTTGATTGATTTTGTGTGTAGCTAAACCTCAAGTGGCAACTATTTCATTCATGTGCACAACGAGTATATTTTTGGAAGTCCCATATCATCATTTTTAATCGGTAAAGACAAATCTGACGAAATTGACTAGATTGTTCATAATTATTCAACACCTTATGTATCCGGACACTGTACAATTTTCGTTAGAATATTTTGTCGACTGTATCAACCAAAAAAGACCATATTTGCACTTTATCATGTAAATCTATATAGCCGCATAGTAAATCAGTTACATTTTGATGTCAGGATGAACTGTATAATACAAATGACAGCAATATTGGAACCCATGACTACAAAGTTTTTTTCGCATCAATTTAGAGTGCCAGCATGTCCTCTTTTTATTCAAAATATTGAATCGTAATCAAATATCAGTAGTTTTCATACCTCAAACTGTTTTGTATAACAAAATAATTTGTCCGCATCAACCTAAACTGACCATCATGACCATGATGACTATATTTGCACTTTATTATGTAAATCTATATAGCCGCATAGGAAATCAGTTACATTTTTATGTCAGGATGGATTGTATAATACAAATGACAGCAATATTGGAAAACAATGACTACAAATATTTTTTCCACATAAATTTAGAGTACCAGCATGACCTCTTTGCATTCAAAATATTGAATCGTAATCAAATATCAGTAGTTTTCATACCTCAAACTGTTTTGTATAACAAAATTATTTGTACGCATCAATCAAAACAGACCATATTTGCACTTTATTATGTAAATTTTATAGTCGCATAGTAAATCAGTAATATTTTTATGTTAGGATGGATTGTCATAATAATACAAATGATAGAAATATTGGAACACAATGAATACAAATGTTGGTTGCATCAATTTAGAGCACCAGCATGTCCTCTTTTTATTTAAAATATTGAATCGTAAACAAATTGCAGTAGTTTTCATACCTCAGACTGACTTATATAACAACATCATTTGTCTGCATCAACCAAAACTGACCTTCATGACCATGATGACTTTATTTGCACTTTATTATGTAAATCTATATAGCCGCATAGAAAATCAGTTATATTTTTATGTCAGAATGGATTGTATAAAACAAATGATAGCAATATTGGAACACAATGACTACAAAATTTTGTTCGCATCAATTTAGAGTGCAAGCATGTCCTCTTTTTATTCAAAATATTGAATCGTAAACAAATTTCAGTAGTTTCATACCTCAGACTGACTATTTGACCGTATCAACTAAAACTGATCATATTTGCACTTTATCATGCAAATCTATATAGCCGCATAGTAAATCAGTTATATTTTGATGTCAGGATGAACTGTATAATACAAATGACAGCAATATTGGAACCAATGACTACAAAATTTTGTTCGCATCAATTTAGAGTGCCAGCATGTCCTCTTTTTATTCAAAATATTGAATCGTAAACAAATGTCAGTAGTTTTCATACCTCAGACTGACTCGTATAACAAAATTATTTGTCCGCATCAACCAAAACTGACCATCATGACCATCATGACTATATTTGCACTTTAATATGTAAATCTATATAGCCGCTTAGGAAATTAGTTATATATTTTTATGTCATGATGGATTGTATAATACAAATGACAGCAATATTGGAACACAATGACTACAAAACTTTTTCCACATCAAGTTAGAGTACCAGCATGTCCTCTTTTTATTCAAAATATTGAATCGTAATAAAAAATCAGTAGTTTTCATACCTTTCATGTTTTGTATAACAAAATTATATGTCCGCATCAACAAAACTGACCATCATGACCATCATGACCATATTTGCAATTTATTATGTCAATCTATATAGCCGCATACATAGTCTAGGAAATCAGTTATATTATTTTTTTGTCGGGATGGATTGTAAAATACATATGACTTCAATATTGGAACACAATGACAACAAAATTTTGTTCGCATCAATTAAGAGAGCTATCATGTCCTCTTTTTATTCAGATTATTGAATCGTCAACAAAATTCAGTAGTTTTCATACCTCAAACTGTATTGTATAACAAAATTATTTGTCCGCATCAATCAAAACTGACCATATTTGCACTTTATTATGTAAATCTTATAGTCGAATAGTAAATCAGTAATATTTTTATGTAAGGATGGATTGTCATTATAATACAAATGATAATAATATTGGATCACAATGACTACAAAATTTTGGTTGCATCAATTTAGAGTACCAGCAGGTCCTCTTTTTATTCAAAATATAGAATTGTAAACAAATATCAGTAGTTTTGATACATCAGGATGACTCGTATAACAAAATTATTTGACCGCATCGACCAAAACTGACCATATTTGCACTTTATCATGAAAATATATATAGCCTCATCGTAAATCAGTAATATTTCTCTGTCAGGACGGATTGTATTATATAGATGACAGCAATATTGGAACACAATGACTACAAAATTTTGTCTACATCAATTTAGAGTGCCATAATTTCCTCTCTGTATCCATTATAATGAACCGTCACAGAAGTCAGTAGTTCGTGATGGTTTGTATTAAAAACAAAACTATTTAACGGCATCATCCAACACTGACATGACTGAATCATGTACTTTTTGATGAAAAGTATGAGAAGTTCTCTTCTTGGAATAGTATACTCTTAATATAATATGTCGGTTGATTGATTTTGTTCGTAGCCTAACGTCCAGTGGCAAATATTTCATTCATGTTTAGATCGAGTATATTTTTCGGACGACCCAGATATCATTTATAATCATTATGGACATGATGGATAAGTGTGTCAAAATTGACGAGATGGTACAAATGTACATACCTATACAACACTTTATTGATTTCCCTATATATACACTGTATAAATTTCGTTTGAACATTTAGCAAGACAGAATCTTAAATCATGTAAATCCAAGGCAAACAAGGTGAATTACGATTTAAAATCCGTGTATTAAATGCATAGAGTTATATTTAGGAAGAGACTGTTAAAAATGGGGAACAAAGCAACGTACACCATGATGTTTATGTCCTATCATACACAAATATTTTTCCGATGTGTTGGATAACCTTTCTATCCGCCTCGATATTTGTACATGTAACTTTTGAAAAGAAAACAGAAACTCTGCTACTCAGTAAAGTTATTGGAACTGATTTTTTGTAATTAATAAAAGTTAATATTTCGAAGTAAAAGTGTTTTTGAATGGTTCCTGTTTGAAACACTGATACGTAAAATATTAAGATAAAAGTCGTTTTAATAAAATAATTGTACAAATGAACACGAAGTTTATTTCTTAATTTACACAATCAGTTAACGCGAAAAGTAAACTCGCGTTTACGTTCAAGTGCACGTAAAAATCGGCTGTGAAATCTGTAGTAAACGCCCGTTTACTTTTAAGTGCACATAAAAATAAACGCCCGTTTACTCGGGTAGACATTAGAAAATTTCATTTTTACCGCGTTAACGTAATTATAGTAAACGCGCGTTTATTAGTAAACGCGAAAATTGAAGTTAACTAACGAAATATGTGCACGCGGCGTTAACGTGCGTTTACTTTATGTAATGCTTAGACTGCACCCAACTGTATGTATCAGCAATTGTTCTTGTTTTTTTCTTGAGTCGTTTTTCTTGTTCCTTGAGAACTTTTTCACTCTTTTCAAATCATTCAATTCATATGCAATACATCTCAACCAGCAGATATTTTTATCTGATAATAACTTATTCGAAGCTGGAGAAATGTTTATCAGAAATTTCGACTATAGTTTTAGACGTGGTCACCTCAAAAATAGCAGGTATCTGTCCTCATTGATGCATTTCCACAGTAGAGTTAATAGGGGAAGAGACTTATAGTCATTTTCAACATTAAAAAATCAAACAGATCATTAAGGAGGAGTTTGGCTTTGATGTGTGTTTTAATATTCAGTCTTTTCTGTCAAAATATTTAAACCTATCCAATGACTGTCGAAATTCCCATCCTCATCCTTGCCAGCTCCATTTACAGAGCCTACATATCGGATATATTGCAAAATAGTTTAGCACTTTAACGTGTTGGACGTTTGCAGTCTTGTCCGACATCGACCTCCTGTTTGACAGTACTTTCAATTTGCAAAAACTATTTTGATAGATATTAGAAGATGTGGTATGAGTGCCAATGAGACAACTCTCCATTCAAGTCACAATTTGTAAAAATAAACCATTACAGGTCAAATTATGGTCTTCAACATGGAACATATGCTCACGACGAACAGCAAGCTAAAGAGGGACCCATAAATGACTAGTGTAGAACCATTCAAACAGGAAAATTAACTGTCTAATCTATATGGAAAAACAAGAAACGAGGAACACTTATGAACCACATAAACAAACGACAACCACTTAACAACAGGTTCCTGACTTCACAGTTTTAAGTTGTTACATGTTAGCACTTCAAAAAATGTAACATATATGTCGGTAACCAAGTTCCTGTCTGCAAATAGTTTAAAGTTCTTAATATGTTCAATCAGTTTAAAATTTTTGTTTCAATTTTCTTAAGTACTGCTACAATTTTTAAATGTGTTAAGTAGCTCCAAAGTAACGTTAAAACAAAATAGACAAACAAAATTTATTAATACCGAACTACGATGACTACAACTTGAAATACGAGATAAAGGTCATAAACATTCAAAATTTGTTACAGATCCGATTACTAGTGACGATGAAATTGTAACCGTTGACTTGGGTGGTACACCGAAACAATGTTTAAAGATAGGAGATGCATTACAGCATTTAGTTACAATGGCCAGGGTGATTCCGGATTACAGAAAACACATACCGAGTATCAGAAATATGGAAATGGATGATGATGATGTCATAATATGTGCATTTGCAAAATCAGGTAATAAGTACATGTATATAATCACAACATACAAAAAGATAAACGAAAGATGACCAACATAGCTAACCCTTATATGATGAAGATAAAAGCATTCAAAGCTCAAAATAGAATTTCAAAAATAGAAAAATGCATCTTTTGTTACTCTCTGCACTTGACCATTCTTGACAATATTATGAAAAAGAACTACTCATATAGTAGATCAAACGCGATATTTTGAAGGAAAAAATCACTAAATAAATTACATGTATTACCAAATGCAGCAACAACGAGATTCCTGGTATGGAAAAGCGTCAGTGGCATAATCAGACGTAGAGTAAGTCCTGTTTTAATATAATCAAATTTGTTAAAATAACAAAATCATGTTTGGTTTTGTACTTCGGTTTACCTGTATAGGTAAATATTTTTGATGGTAACATGTTGCTTTGATTTATTGGCGCCAAGTAATTTCCAACAGCCTATTTTGACAAAAATCTGTAATTAACATTTATGTTATACATTTTTGTGTAGTTCTTTCGTCGAGGTAACACTATATATTTTCGGTAGCTATGATAAACTATCAGTTTTCATTATTCAAAACATAGTTGTTATCACCATTTGAAAAACAAGTTGTGTATGGTTTATTTTTATTAAAGCATATACAGGTACATAAAGTTACTCTCAGCTTAATTTGTCTTTCTTCAATAAGAGGTCATTATAGAAAAAACATGATAAATACGTGATTGTTGTGATTGTTCAGAGAACTTTAGTTGCATACATGCTGGTGTACAAAAAAAAAATATTCTTCAAGCAAATGGCAGAACTTTTATTAAATAAAACAATATGTTTGGCGTTCGTTTATGCACCTCTACTTTTTCACTCTTTCGTATTCCGGAATTTGTGACTTAGTTTTTTCTCCGAAACGACACTTTTCAAATTCGACTGAAAAGAACATTCGAACAGTAAATAATACAAATAGATGAAAACGAACCTGCAATCTTTTTTTAGTTTGTCTAAAAATAATTAGTTTACTGTACTATATAGAATTAGAAGCAGTGGTATGATGTCGTTGAGACAACTCTCAAGAAGAACCCAAGTCAAGTACAAAATTCAAAATTCGGCGAGGATATTCAGATTACTTTATTAAAGAAATACAATTTTCACGGAAAAAATTTTTGTTAATAAGAGACGTCATAACATTTAACAATGTTTAACAATACAGTACTTGATTGATGTTTGAGACAAGAGGAATCATACTGTTGGTGTATACAGGTTTAATTCGAGCAATAATTATACGTAAAACCTTGTGATTTTTACTAGCCACTAAGCAAACAATTCAAGTCTCAAAAGTTTGCTAATCAGTACGGTACGAATGGGATCAGGAAGAGGTTAATACTCTTCTTTAAATTTAACGAAGATTCAGTAATGATGCATGTCTCTATAAACGCATAAAAAATATGATACGGATATCGTTGGACATATAGCATGTATGACTTAGATAACAAAAGAACATTTCAAACATTGAAATCTTCAGTTATCTATGTTGTGTTTCAAATGTGTTTTGTGTACTGTTGTTTGTCTGTTTCCTTTTTAGCCATGATGTTGTCAGTTTATTTTCGACTAATGAGTTTAAATTTCTCTTTGGTATCTTTTACATCTCTTATACATTTGATATAGTGAACTGGTTGTATCAGAATTTTGTTAAGCATTGTTTCGGCTTTAGTTCTTATTTGTTAAGCATGTTTAAAGGTGTAGACTAATAATACTTAATCACACATCTCCAGGTCTACAATTTTCAGTAATATTTACTGGCATTTATATTGCTTTGACTGTCTTTTTAATCGTTAATGAGATTTACATGTCGGAATACGACTTTTGCTAGTTTTTACCAGTATGGATACGTCTGTTTGTATTAAACAGATTGGTCGTTATAATGGTTTTTCTCAGGCAAATGGAATACATGATGTTTTCTTTTTATAGTATATATTTTCAATGCCTGAAATCACAACGCTTAATATCTAAACAGTAAAATTGATAATTTGGTACTCCAACTGTTTGATTTTTGTAAAAATCTATGTTCAATATTTTTAGAAACAACACTCTCCTTTCTAGTATTTTATATCCCTGTTTGGTGTTTTTGTGTAATATTAGGTCGATCATATTAGACCTAAATTTTTAGTTCAATTTAACATACTAGTAATCAAGTTCACAGTCTTATTGATAAACGTAGCTCTATTCTGACTCTCATCAACTGTTGGTTCAACATTTTTGCTCATTTTCCTAAATATGAAAATGATGCGCACTTTATGAAGTACAGAAAAAAAACGTATGTATGTGATTTAACAAAGATGGGATCAAAGCAGCAATTTACACCCTGAAGGTATGACTGCCATCAAATGTGGGTTTTTTTTCTGAATATAATTAAACTACGATACGACATTAACATTGGTTTCTCATTTGGATGTAATAGCTGCTTTTTCAACTATAACAATATAAAAAACCTTCAGGATTTAACAATTTGAATTGAAGTTCAGGGGTATAGGTATAGGAGTACTACTGTTTCATCGAACCTCTAAGTGAGCTGCATTTCATGTTGATTTTGAAAAAGGAACTCAAAACTAAAATACACTGCAAACGAAAAGGTATGCAGGGAAAACATACGAAACAATGCTACTTTTTTCACAAACAAACATTTCAATTGCTGACAGTGACAAAATATCAATCGTTAATATGCTTGACTAATTAAATTGTCTGTACATATCAGTAACTTATTACAAATACATATTTTGTTCATCGATTGTTGACATTCCTACATGGGTTACATTTGTACTCAACTTAAACAGGGACACACTGGTTATGGGAAATAACTTCCATGCTGAGAAATGGAAAAGCAGATTATCATGGAAAAGAGAAAACTTCAGTCATGTTGGAATTCATTCCTACAGAAGTATTAAGGGCTTCGCCAAAACCTCGTATTTATAATACTCATTTCACGCCTCAAAGATTACCAAAGCAGATATTTGACAAAAAGTGCAAGATTCTGTTCCTTCAAAGGAATCCGAAAGATGTATTAGTGTCATTTTTTCCGTTTCTCCAGGGTCATAAATTCATAGATTCTACGATTAAATGGGAGGAATTTGTCTCCAAGTATATGGAATTAGGTAAGTTGATAAACTATGTTACTAATTGTTTTGTGTCATACTGTTTTATCTGATAAAAAAGAGTTTTTTTATTTTTCAATTTTCTGCATTTGGTCCAGTTTTTAAGTTATGTAACACATATTACACATTATTACACACTATATGTAAATTTGGAATTTTAATATGAATTGGTGTTCATAAACAATACACAATGAGCAATTAAAAAATATGTTCTTAAATAACAATAATACTTGAACTGTGTCTTATGTAAACTTCGAGAATTGAATTTTTCATAGTCCGTTAATTTGTTTTATAAGGATAGCACTGAAAAAGATTCAGGTTGGGTCCAAAGTATACGAAATATTGGTCATTGCATTTGACCACACAAAGTTAACGAAGATGCTTTAGAAACATTAAAATCCCATAAGCCAAAGGTTTAGTATTATTCACGTAACTTTAATGTTGACATAAGGCTATGTCATTTTTTTCATCTTAAACAGTTGAACACATATCGTTATTTTACGAGTTACAGCTGATTTTTTTGTGTGTTATTTTACAAATTTCAGAAGTGGAATCTTCGTTACTGAACTGGTTTTACTATACAAGACAGTGGTTTGAGTTCTTGAAGGAAGGACATGACAACATTTACTGCTTAGCATATGAAGACATGAAAGACGTATCTGATTTTAGCTTATATTTATTTTTCCATTTTTAAATTTCAACACTGAACATGGACAAACTTGGAATTTAATATCAACGATATTTTAAATTAATTAAAAGTATTATTAGCTACGAGACATATAAAACAAATAGTATATGATTTTTTTGTTAAATCATTAATGAAAGTGAACAATTGAAATAATAATTAGCTTTTAGCAGCCAGTTTGGTTCAATTTTGTCAAAAAAGCCAAGAAACCTCGCTATTAAATTATTCACTTGCAAGTGAATAATTCGACCTCATTTAATCCGTATTCACGTGACTTTCATTTTAAAGCCTTAGCTAGAGATTGGTTACGCATGAATTATGAGTGTTCGGTTATTAAAAGGAAAAGAATGACAACATTAAAAGTGAAACAAGGGATAACCATTTGATTGTCTGATTTGATCCACAAACACCCATTCTTATACAAGTAAAAAAGATGACTAACATATATCTTTAACCTACATTATGAAATCAAACAGACCTAGAAAAATCTAATTGCACGAGTTTGCAATCTATTTATATCGATATTTATATTTAAATCGGATAATATGACCGTCGTCAGTCTTACGCGGTCACCTCGGTAGTGATGTAGATGGCTTCTACTTCTAATTAAATTCACATAAAATGCTGATACAACAATCCAGCCCATGCATTGTGAATTGTTTATTTTAGACTTTTTATAATTTGGATATACATTTTAGTATGTTGTAACTCAATTATGAGAATTTGAGTCAAATTGGTGAACATGAATTCGACAGATAATGCCCCTTTGAAGAATAGATGAAATCGCTTGATTACTTTAAATATTCGTTTATTCATTTATTCCCTCAAACATTTTTTTAATACCCTTTGAGATGAAACCAAAACATTATAGCAAACAACCATTAGCCTTTACTGTTATTGAAGATTTTATTGAATTAACCATGTCAGCTTTACAATATTTCATGTATGATTTCATTTAACATCAACGCTTACAGACAAAACAAGTGTTGCGTTAAATACCTTAAATGAACATAACGCCGACAATACCCATACATTTATATATATAACAAGATTTTTTGTAAGGAGAAGTAAATTTCAAGATGCCATTGTTTTTTTTTTTTTTTTCTTTTTTTTTTTCTTTTTTTTTCTTTATTTTTATGTGATTAAAATCTTACAATGCATTTACATTTTCAGCTGATGATTATAGATTAAACCAATCTGTTCTTTTCTACAGGATCCAGTGAGGGAAATAACGAAACTTGCTAAATTTCTAGAAATTGAAGAAAACAGTGACTTGGTTAAAGATATAGCAGTAAAAAGTAGTTTCCAAAACATGAAACAAGCAGCGAGTTCAAAGCAGAAAACGTTTGCAATCAATAATAAAGAAGTGGCTAAGAAAATTACAAACTTAACATACAGAAAAGGTATAAATCTATACCACACTTTATGTTCATTCTTGTATGTATTCTTTTTATTTAACAATCATGTCCTATATTCAACTTCACCTTTTCAATCGATACTGATTGTTGGTTGGAAAACGTCTAAATGCAAATATCTCATGAATGTTCAAGACGATTTTATATCGCAAAGAATAAAAAGGGTTGCAAGTATTGAATGAATACCAATTCTATAAAAAAAAAAAAAAAAACAACATAAGTCAAAATTAAGGTTCTTAAGAATTGGTCCACATGATTAATATGAGGACCACTACTTTAAAAAAAAGCGATATTCGGCACAACTGAAATTCTGATCACATACGGAATATTTAACGATTGTTGCAAGGAAACTTTTACGCTCAGGTGAAAGGTATTCACCTTACAACAGGTTTCGGGTTTACTTTTTCAGCTCGACCTGACCTGAAATTGTATTTATACATACAGCAAAGCTAGTCACAGGCTTACCAGTTCATTGGTTTTTACTTCAGGACAGAACGAATACTCGGGATGATACTTTGTATATCAAAATCAACACCTATATGTGAATTTTTCTTATTCATATTACATGTAACCTGGTGATTTGCACATAAAACAACACGTCCCTTAATAAATAGAAAATAGTTTTTGTGAATTATCGGTTTGTGTGCTTCTCCTTCATTTATTTAAGTGATGAACAGTTAGCCAGTATTGAACCTGTTCGCAGAAAATATTCCTGCATAATTTGTTAGACATACATCATATCTTAAACCTAACTGCATCTTTCCATCTTTCATATTTTTACTACTAAAAAGTAAAATAACAAAAATACCAAACTCCGAGAAAAATTCGAAATGGAAAGTCCGTAATCAAATGGCAAAATCAAAAGCTCAAACAAATCAAACGAAAGGATAACAACTGTCATATTCCTGACTTTAATTTTAACAAATGCTTTTTTTGTTCATGTTATTGATCTTTTTTATTAAATGTAATTCCACTACTAGTGCAATGTTTATCATATTGAGCAGTAAGTGTGTTATTACTCTTTCACAGGTGAGGTTGGAGACTGGAAAAACTACTTTACCGTTGCTGTCAACGAGAAATTCGATACTCGGTATGCCAAAAAGATGAAAAGAATAACTTTTAAATATCGCTATTCTTTATAACTTGTTACTTATGAATACAATCATAATAGTTTAATAACAGACTTATAACCAAATTATAATATATGAGGATCTAATTAGATTCGTATTCACCCTCTCTTTCTGTGACTTTTAATTGTGATGTGAATCGTAAGGTTTGCAATCTCATTGACGTAAACGAATTCAAGTTGACCAAGCCATTATTACGGACAAAGAAGCAATGAGATAAAGCACAAAATAAAAATCATTGAAAAAGCAATGGTACACTAGAAGGACGATGATAACATGAAGTATCCTTATGATATGAAAATAAAATTGCAATCACCTTTTTGGTTTTGCTTTGATTTTGATGGCATAATTTACAAAAATGAATACACACTGCCGGTGGAGATTTCCTCTCCGATGGTATTCCTAGCTGATGCAAAGCTCTGATTTTCTTGCTCGGCTATGGCTTTCCTTTTTTATTTATAAGCTCTTCATTTGTATTAATAAGTTTTGGATGTTTTAATATTTTGGCTCTGAGAATCATTGAAGAGACATTTTTTTGTCAAAATGCGTTTCTGGTGCATACAAATTTGTACCGTAAATGTCATTATGTAACTACTTAAATTGTAAACCAATTTACTAATAGTATCCGTATGTTTATATCTTTCAATGCATACAAGATACTTGCATGTACTTATTTCTTCTTGAATATTTCATACGATCATGCCATTATTTCTTTATGGATATTGTTTTTTTTTTATTATTGCTAACAGTTTCAGTTGCTTTCATCTATAAGTAACCCACACATTATTCTAAGGATGGATTTCATATATCTGGATACATTTAGTTCAGAAAATAAAATATTTTTATCATTTTTATCATTTTATTCATGATGTAAAATATAAGGTCAATGAATATCACAGATTCATGCTATGTTGTTAGATTTTGGTCATTAATTTGACATGTAGAACGCTATTCGAAAATCAAAACATAATTTAATCGGTAATTTGTACATTTTCACTTTGTTCTTACTGCCTAATACGGATAACAAAAAAATAACAAAAACTGAAATTAAGAAATCGAAAAATACTGAATACCAAACTTGTTCAAAGGGTATCTACAAGTAGTAAACATAGCAAATAAGAGGGAGTTCAGTATTATCAAAATAGCCAGGATTTTATTTTTTACCAGAATGATTATTGAAAATACCGATAATATTTACAAAATCAAAACCTTTATTGACATATTGGATTTTAATAAAATGTTTTTTATGATCTTCCCGGCGATCAATTTTGGGAAACAGTTTAGAATAACAATATGCTAACATAATTTGTACGATTTCATACTTAGGACTGCAATATGGAATTGTGTTGAAATCCTCTAAAGTTTGATGTAATTTATTAACAGGTAAAGAACAGAGCTTGGTTAACAGATAACGTCTGCCGTTGTTTTTTAAAATAGTAATTAGAACCGAAATATTTGTATTGTTGGTGCGAAATTTCTCTGATTGCGATTTATTCTACGCCCATGAGAACGGTTTTTACAAACAGTTTTAGAAACTATATCCAAAATGTTAACAGAATCGGTTCTTGATATACAATGTATTGCCAATTCCACTGATATTATCATGAAGACCGAGAGGATTGACTGCATTTCAGTTTGTTTCATATGAGTAAATAGATAACAATGTTAGTTTTTCAGTTTCAAAATTTAAGTAAAATGTGCGACCATAAAACGTGGACCTAGCCGTATTGTTGGTGGAAAGACGGGGACATGTAAGCTATTTTTTGCATAACACTTATCAATAGAAGGGTAACCACGTGCACGATTTTTATTATTAAAAATGTTAGCGATTGTAGTATTTTTAGATAAGCAAATTTGAAGATTGAGACTCAGAAATATGTGTTTAATTATGGCAAAGTGTGTAAAGATGTTAATTTCAGTTACAATTTTAGATTCTTTTTTGTTAAATCAGTAAGAAACATAGTTGATATTCGTAATAAACATTTGAAAGAACATTTTACTCCTAACAAAAACCATAATAGCCCTTTTACTCGTATCAAATATAAACAAAAGAACTCGCAAAGGAATTTGTTTTTGTTTTTGTTTTCTCACAAGGCTGCTAATAATATCATTATTCATTGTTATTGTTTGACGTTAATTTTACATTCAGGTTCTGCAAAAAGAAATCACGAATTCAGCAACATTCTAACTGACTCCATTTTCGGAAATAACATCTGTAGCAAAACATAAACTTTTAGCTACCTCTTTTCAAGCAGAACCAAATACAATGAAAGTTCAAACTATGTAAACGCTTCCGAAGCTGCACAAATCACCTTACAAATATAGATTTATATGGTCTTCAAGCCATTATTCCACTACTAAACTGTCTATTCTACTTACTAGTACACTTGGTACAATCAAAAACCTGGTAATAAATTGTTCAATAGTTATCAAAGGTACCAGGATTATAATGTGATACGCCAGACGCGCGTTTCGTCTACAAAAGACACATCAGTGACGCTCAGATCAAATAAGGCGTTTGAAAATGGTGGAATTAATTACTTTTGGAATGTCAAAAATTTGTTGGAACTACATGATAAATTGCATGCTTAAATTTTGGATTTCGAATCTGTTCAAATTTTTGATTTTTCTAAACTATAAAATTGAGAATGGAAATGGGGAATGTGTCAAAGAGACAACAACCCGACCATAAAGCAGACAACAGCCGAAGGCCACCAATGGGTCTTCAATGCAGCAAGAAAGTCCCGCACCTGGAGGCGTCCTTCAGCTGGCCACTAAACAAATATGTATATCTATATATACCACTTTGCCTCAATCTTATTACGAAAAAATGCACACACCTAATTTGATGGACATTTAAAAAGTCTGAATGCGAATATAAATGTTCACTTTCTTTTAGGTCAATTTTTAGTATCAATAAACAAAAGAACTATGCCAATTGGACCTGCTTTGATACGATAACTGCCCATAAATTTTTACTAGATAACAATTTTTTGTTCGCTATATAGATTGCGTATATTGTCAAGTTATCGGAATTCCAATGGGGACTAACTGTGCACCACTTATTGCTTTATTGCATGTTTAACCCCGCTGCATTTACACGCTTGTCCCAAGTCATGAGCCTCCGGCCTTTGTAAGTCTTGTATGCTTTTTTATTTAAGTTCATTTATATGTTTTGGAGTTTAGTGTGACGTCCATTTTCACAGAACTGGTACACATTTTGTTTAGGGGCCAGCTGAAGCCCGCCTCCGGTGCGGGATTTTCTCACTGTGTTGAAGACCCATTGGTGACCTTCGGCTGTTTTCTGCTCTTTGGTCGAGTTGTTGACTCTTTGATACATTCCACTTCTCAATTTTGATACTTTCAAGATCATGGACAGGACTCATAAAATATAAGCCATTGACGTCATGTATCAGTGCAAAATGTCACGTGCTCAAGTCGTTCCGCGTCAATGTATCAATAAAATGCACGCGACCTCATTCATACAACCGAACAACTATCCCAACATTTTGTACGAGTCAAAGAAGTTTTAGTAAATATTTCATTTAACCTTATATTCTCAACAAAAAAACATACAGATATGACAAATTACCGATAAATAGAATAGGTATCTTTTTTTTATATTGACTTCGTCAGCTGGAATATCAGCTCGCCATAACGGGCGCTCTTGCTTTTTTTTTGATGATAAAGTCAGAATCAATGTAAAAAAATGCCATTTTTCTATATATATGAACTGTAAATTTCGCTTAATTCATAGTAGAATATAAAATTTGCTACAATTTAAATGCGTTTTTGTAGGGGGTAATTGGTTTTGTATTTTATGTTTTAGCTAAACCTAATGTTTGTGACTTTTCATTGTGTATCGTAGTTTAGCCTTTTGTAGTTAAGTTTTCGAGCACGCTGGTCGATATTTTAGTTGTGATATCAAATCTTAATCATCGTTCAAGCTTTTCATGAATACAAATTTACCCCTAATGTAAGAAGTGTTATGCTAACGCATTAGTTTGATATACATAAATTTATCTGTGAGATGATAACGTCATACAACAATGTATAAGTAAATTTATGTTGAACCAAAACTGACAGGACGATAAGTAAGTAATGTTGCGTTTATCAATCAATGTTTAGACATTTCCTACAGGGTAATTTGTTGTTTTCCAGACATTTTTTTTCGGTAAAATTAAAATCAATTCTACCTTAATTATACCTGTGGAAAACACACGTATTGAATCACGACATGAATGTGACATTTGACGATATAAAAGGTAAGTTTATTCGTTATCATTCATCTTTCAAAATGGATATTGCAAGTCATAACAATTCATCATTAAATGAAGTAAAATTTCACTTATTATGATATATTTAATTCTTGAACTACGAAATTGATTATCCGTGTCATATACTTGTGTGATTATATTTGAATACGTAATTAATGGCATAGCATGATTGTACAATGTGTAATAAATAGGCAGGTTGTTATGGTAGTACTGAATTTCCAATCTATAGGTTTGTTTTCTATTCACGTCAGGCTTGTTAACAACACATTATTTCTTAATGATAATAATTAAAATCATGTAAATTTGTGATATTTTTCCATTTTGATACAATATCTACCGTTTGAAATTTGAAATATATATATAATTGATTGCTGACATATACATAAGGATTCACATTTTTTTGTTATTCACTCGATGTTTTAAAATGATAAATTATAGTCCATAACTATTGTTACCTTTTCTATAAGATCTATAGATCTATGCACGCGTCACATATCTGCATCTATTGGGCATTAAATCGGTAATGACTGACGCAGATTGGGTAAAAATGAGTGTTGCAAAAATACTGAACTCAAGGGTAAATTAAAAAAAGAGAAGTATAATATAAAAACGCTATCACTGAACGGGAAACGTGGAAAACAATACCCATATTCCTGAATTGATACAGCATTTTCCGAAGAAAATGATGGGTAATACGTGGTTTTATATTTAGCTAAACTTACCAATTGTATGACAAACATGTTTAAACCTGCATCATTCTGTATGTGCCTATCTCAAATCAGGAGCCTGTAATTCAGTTGTTTTCGTTTGTTGCTGTAAATCATTTTTGTTATTCGTTCATTGTTTTGTACATCAATCAGGTTATTAGTTTTCTCGTTTGAATAAATGAATGAATATGTATTTTTGCAAAAGCATACAGAACAGGCTACATGTGCTATGGCAATACGTAATATAAAGACTGATAGTAGAGAACAATTAAATAATAATATAACTAACCAATGATATCAGATCTAGCTTTCCGTGCATTCTTCAATCTTTAAAAAAAGTTGAAAAAGGTAAAACATAAAAAATCTCCAAGGAAAATTCAAATCGGAAATTCCCTTAAAAGTTGGCAAAATCAAATTCTCAAACACATCAAACGAATCGAATACAGCTGTCATATTCCTGACATTGACAATTCCTTATGTAGAAAATGGTGGATTAAACCGGGGGTTTAAAGCTTGCTTAACCTCTCACTTGTGTGAACAAAACAGACAGACATAATAGGTGAAAATGTCAAAAAAAAAAGGGTCGGCAGTCAGCATTGTGTTATAGTCTCAATCACTATAATAACAATCGAAGATGTCAACAACGAAAAACAAATGACATATAGACAAAGAATATACGCAAAAATGAAACACAACAATACAAAAATTGACAACAGCACAGCAACACAAAAAATAACAACAGCACAGCAACACAGTTGCGGAAGTGCAAGTACCGAGCCAAGCCTACAGAATATAGCCAAATACGGACCAAACAGTAAACATTAATAATTTACAAAGTCAAATAAAGAACACTATAACACGTAAGTAA